AAGTCGGCGTGCGACGCGAACGCCAGCAGCTGGGACTTGCGCCAGCGCAGCCTCAGCAGCTCCTCCAGGATCCGCGTGTTCGCCTGGGGCAAGCAGAGACAACGCTGCCCGTTGGGGCGGGCGCAAGGAACGCGCAGCACCCAGGCAGGCCGGCACTGCGCACTGTGGCACGCGAAGGGGGTGGGGGGTGGCCGGGACCGCCGCGGCCGCCCGTCTTTGTCTCTCGCTTAGACACAGACCCACGTGGTACGCAAACACACAACAACAACACACACCCACTACACACACACACCAACACACACACACCCCCACACACCCAACACACACCCACTACACTACCACCACCACTCCCCCCACTACACCACCACCACCACTACACTACCACCACTCCCCCCACTACACCACCACCACTCCCCACTACACTACCACCACCACTCCCCACTACACTACCACCACCACTCCCCACTACACCACCACTACACTACCACCACTCCCCCCACTACACCACCACCGCTCCCCACTACACCACCACCGCTCCCCACTACACCACCACCGCTCCCCACTACACCACCACCGCTCCCCCCACTACACCACCACCGCTCCCCACTACACCACCACCGCTCCCCACTACACCACCACCGCTCCCCACTACACCACCACCGCTCCCCACTACACCACCCCCCCCCCCACCCCCCCACCCCCCCACCCCACCCCACCCCCCCCCACCCCCCCACCCCCCGCGGGTCACCTCGAGGCAGCGTGAGGTGAAGGCCCGCTCCATGCGAGCGCGCGTCTCCTCCACACTGCACTTCTTCATGAGCGGGAAGTAGTGCGGTGACTTGAGCGTCACCTTCAGGCGGCCGCCCCCTCCGCCTGCTCCAGCGACGACACGAAGTCCGCGGGCATCCCCTCTGCGGGCGACAGAGACCACATCGCCCGGTCGCCAGAGGTCGCAAACGGGTTTTGATTCCTTACCCGTACCCGTACCCGGCCGCACCAGGGTCGCAAACGGGTACCCGCACCCGGCCGTACCCGTACCCTTACCCTTACCCGGGGACCTGATTGCGACCTCTGGGATGAAGCCATGTTGCAGGCGCGGGTGGTTGATTCTAGGAACTTGAATCGTGAGAAGAGACAAGACGTTGGGAAATGAGTGACAAACGGTGACTCACCAGTGACTGACGGCCTACCCGTACCCGTACCCGGCCGCACCAGGTCGCAAATGGGTACCCGGCTACCCGTACCCGGCCGGGTACCCGTACCCGGCCGGGTACGGGTAGCGGGGTATCGGGTAGGGTACGGGTAGGGTACCCGGTTGCGACCTCTGCCGGTCACCCACCCGGGGGGTCGCTGCCCCCCTCCCCGCCCCCCCCCACTCCCGCGTCGCCCTTTGACCTGTTCCGTCCCAGCGGTCCACTCACCCATCCACACGCTCACTCAACCAGCCACTCACTCACCTAGCCACTAACTCACCTAGCCACTCACTCACCTAGCCACTCACTCACCGAGCCACTCACTCACCTACTCACTCACCCAGCCACTCACTCACCTAGCCACTCACTCACCTAGCCACTCACTCACCTACTCACTCACCCACTTACCTACTCACTCACCAAACCACTCACTCACCCAGCCACTCACTCACCCCAGCCACTCACCTAGCCACTCACTCACCTACACTCACCCACTTACCTACTCACTCACCTAACCACTCACCCACCCACTCACTCACTCACCTACTCACTCACTCACCTAGCCACTCACCACCCACTCACTCACTCACCTACCCACTCACTCACCTAGCCACTCACTCACCTAGCCACTCACTCACCTACTCACTCACCCACTTACCTACTCACTCACCTAACCACTCACCCAGCCACTCACTCACCGAGCCACTCACTCACCTAGCCACTCACTCACCTACTCACCCACTTACCTACTCACTCACCTACCCACTCACCCAGCCACTCACTCACTGAGCCACTCACTCACTTACTCATCCACTTACCTACTCACTCACCAAACCACTCACTCACACAGCCACTCACTCACCCAGCCACTCACTCACCCAGCCACTCACTCACTTACTCACTCACTCACCCACTTACCTACTCACTCACCTAACCACTCACCCACCCACTCACTCACTCACCTAGCCACTCACTCACCTAACCACTCACCCACCCACTCACTCACTCACCCAGCCACTCACTCACCCCGCTAGCCACTCACTCACCCCGCTAGCCACTCACTCACCTACTCACTCACCCACTTACCTACTCACTCACCTAACCACTCACTCACCCAGCCACTCACTCACCCCACTCACTCAATCACCCACCCACTCACTCACCTAGCCCACTCACTCACCTAGCCACTCACTAGCCACTCACTCACCCACTTACCTACTCACTCACCTTTTCCATTCACTCACTCACTCACTCACGCAACCACTTTACCTACTAACCCATCTATCCACTCACCTACTCACCGACCCATTCATCGACGGACTCACCTACCCGCTCACCTACCCACTCACTCACCTACCCACTCACCCACCCACTCACCTACCCACTCACCTGCCCACTCACCCCACCAACTCACCTACCTCACCCCACCCACTCAACCTACCCACTCACCCCCACACTCACCCGCCCACTCACCCACCACCTCACCCCCGCACTCACCCACTCACTCCACCCTGCCACTCACCCACCCACTCACCTACTCACTCACCCACCACTCACCACCCGCACTCACCCACTCAATCACCCACTCACTCACCTACTCACTCACCACTCACCTACCACTCACCTCCTCAGCCCCCCCCCCCCCCCGTCGCACTCTCCCCAAAACGTACTCAGCTCTTCAGTGGTGAACTCCAGGAAGGAGTTGTCTTCGGTGAGGTTGGTGTGGAAGTCGATGCACAGACTGGAAATCTTCTCCTTGATCGCCTTGATCTCCTGGCGGATGGCACAGCGAGTCGCTCGATTAAAACTACTCAACTATACGGGGGCGACACTCCGCTACTTACAAACTTTCAGAGATACGAACAAACCTGGAACGTACGTCCAGTTGCCGGTTCGGACCGAGGGTCGTGAGTTTCAAACCGCCGCACAATAGATGGCGGTGGTGGCATCTACATCTACAGAACGTGAAGAACCAGTGGCATCTACATCTGCAGAACGTGAAGAACCAGTGGCATCTACATCTGCAGAACGTGAAGAACCAGTGGCATCTACATCTGCAGAATGTGAAGAACCAGTGGCATCTACATCTACAGAACGTGAAGAACCAGTGGCATCTACATCTGCAGAACGTGAAGAACCAGTGGCATCTACATCTACAGAACGTGAAGAACCAGTGGCATCTACATCTGCAGAACGTGACGAACCTGTGGCATCTACATCTGCAGAACGTGAGAACCAGTGGCATCTACATCTGCAGAACGTGAAGAACCAGTGGCATCTACATCTACAGAACGTGAAGAACCAGTGGCATCTACATCTGCAGAACGTGAAGAACCAGTGGCATCTACATCTACAGAACGTGAAGAACCAGTGGCATCTACATCTGCAGAACGTGAAGAACCAGTGGCATCTACATCTGCAGAACGTGAAGAACCAGTGGCATCTACATCTGCAGAACGTGACGAACCTGTGGCATCTACATCTGCAGAACGTTAAGAACCAGTGGCATCTACATCTGCAGAACGTGAAGAACCAGTGACATCTACATCTGCAGAACGTGAAGAACCAGTGGCATCTACATCTACAGAACGTGAAGAACCAGTGGCATCTACATAACATGAAGAACCAGTGGCTTCTACATCTACAGAACGTGAAGAACCAGTGGCATCTACATCTGCGGAACGTGAAGAAACCAGTGACATCTACATCTGCAGAACGTTAAGAAGCAGTGGCATCTACATCTGCAGAACGTGAAGAACCAGTGGCATCTACATCTGCAGAACGTGAAGAACCAGTGGCATCTACATCTACAGAACGTGAAGAACCAGTGGCATCTACATCTACAGAACATGAAGAACCAGTGGCATCTACATCTACAGAACGTGAAGAACCAGTGGCATCTACATCTGCGGAACGTGAAGAACCAGTGACATCTACATCTGCAGAACGTTAAGAAGCAAGTGGCATCTACATCTGCAGAACGTTAAGAACCGAGTGGCATCTACATCTGCAGAACGTGAAGAACCAGTAGCATCTACATCTACAGAACGTGAAGAACCAGTGGCATCTACATCTACAGAACATGAAGAACCAGTGGCATCTACATTACAGAACGCGAAGAACCAGTGGCATCTACATCTACAGAACATGAAGAACCAGTGGCATCTACATCTGCAGAACGTGAAGAACCAGTGGCATCTACATCTGCAGAACGTGAAGAACCAGTGGCACCTACATCTGCAGAACGTGAAGAACCAGTGGCACCTACATCTGCAGAACGTGAAGAACCAGTGGCACCTACATCTGCAGAACGTGAAGAACTAGTGCCATCTACAGGAGATTATACAACTTTTAAAGCCATTCCCCGTGTTTAGTGTACATGCCGTACAACATGTTGGAATCGACAGGAGTAAAGTTGGACTTAAGAACAAATCGACTTACGAACAGACACCTCTGGAACCTAACTCGTTTGTAAGTTGTTTCTATTTATATTTTACCAGGTAAGATACCCACTGAACTAAGTGGCTCTTTTTCAAAAGCAACCTGAGAATCACAAACGTCAGCTCAACGAAGTTGCTTATCATCATGTGGACATTGACAGCAGCCAAGTACACTCAACGCGCGATGTTGATTCCAAATGAGGAGGGGGAAAAACCGGAGGACCCGGAGAAAACTCCACGCAACCACAGGGAGAGAGAGGCATCGTCAGGGTTGAGATAGAACCCACGACCTCCTGCATACCAGGCGAGGGAGTTAACATCTCGCAACTGTGATGATGATGATGATGAGAGAGAGACACCGCAAACTCCAAATAAACATCAGCAGGCATCGTCAGGGTCGGGATCGAACCCATGACCTCCTGTATACCAGGTGATGTAGTCAAAATCTCTTAGCCACCGTGATGGTGATGATGAGAGAGACACGCAAACTCCAATATACAGCAGCAGCAGGCATCGTCAGGGTCGGAATCGAACCCATGACCTCCTGTATACCAGGTGATGTAGTCAAAATCTCTTAGCCACCGTGATGGTGATGATGAGAGAGACACGCAAACTCCAAGTATACAGTAGCAGGCATCGTCAGGGTCGGAATCAGAACCCGCAACCTCCTGTATACCAGGCGAGGTAGTCAACATCTCGCAACTGTGATGATGATGAAGATGAGAAAGAGACATTTTTTTACTACAAATATACAGCAGCAGGCATCGTCAGGGTCGGAATCAGAACCAACGACCTCCTGCATACCAGGCGAGGTAGTTAACATCTCGCAACTGTGATGATGATGATGATGAGAAAGAGACATTTTTTAACTCCAAATATACAGCAGCAGGCATCGTCAGGATCGGAATTGAACCCACGACCTCCTGCATACCAGGCGAGGTAGTCAACATCTCGCAACTGTGATGATGATGATGATGAGAAAGAGACATTTTTTAACTCCAAATATACATCAGCAGGCATCGTCAGGGTCGGAATCGGAACCCACGACCTCCTGTATACCAGGCAAGGGCGATAACATCTCCTAGTCACCGTGGTGATGATGAGAGAGAGAGACACGCAGACTCCAAATATACAGCAGCAAGCATCGTCAATGTCGGGATTGAACCCACGACCTCCTGTATACCAGGCGAGGTAGTCGACATCTCCTTGCCACCGTGGTCATGATGAGAGAGAGACACGCAAACTCCAAATATACATCAGCAAGCATCGTCAGGGTCGGAATCAGAACCAACAACCTCCTGCGTACCAGGCGAGGTAGTCAACATCTCGCCACTCACCCCCCGCCGAGACTACGGGGCTGTAAGAGGATCCCGACCGCCACGGCCGTGGAAGCGTTAAACGCGCGACCTTCGATTAGCGCGCCGTAATTGCGCGTGGGGGAAATTAGCGCCGTTGAATGACGCGGGAAAATTGCGGGGCGCGTACCATCCCACCACTCCCCTCCCTACGAGGTCACCACCACCACCACCACAACGCCACCACAACGCCACCACAACTGCCACCACAACGCCACCACTAACGCCACCACCACCAGGACTGCAACCACTACCGCTACTGCTGCTGCTACCATTGAGACCCTCACCACCATCCGCCACTACAAACGCTACCACCACCACTACCATCAAGACCACCAATACCATCACCTCCATCATCACCATCATCTCACCACCACCACCACAAAACTATCCCTAATCACCATCACCACCTTCAGATCATCACCACCACCGTCACCGCCACCGCCACCACCTTCTTCTCATCACCACCACCACCAACCACCACAATCACCACTACCGGCAACACCATCACCACCGTTGCCATCTAATCACCACAACCACCACCGTCACCGCCACCACCTTCTCATCACCACCACCACCACCTTCTTCTCATCACCACCACCACCTTCTCATCACCACCACCAACCACCATCATCACCACTACCGGCAACACCATCACCACCGTTGTCATCTAATCACCACAACCACCACCGTCACCGCCACCACCTTCTCATCACCACCACCACCATCATCACTACCGGCAACACCATCGCCACCGTTGCTATCTAACCACCACCGTCACCGCCACCACCACCACCATCACCTTCTCATCACCACCACCAACCACCACCATCACCACTAACGGCAACACCATCACCACCGTTGCCATCTCACCACCACCGTCACTGTCACCGCCACCACCTTCTCATCACCACTACCAACCACCACCATCACCACTAACGGCAACACCATCACCACCATTGTCATCTAATCACCACAACCACCACCGTCACCACCACCGTCATCTCACCACCAACCACCACCAACCACCACCACCACCACCCTCTCTCCGGCGTGGACTCACGGCCTGCTTGTCGCCCGGCAGGTGCAGCCCGTTGCGCCGCCCGGTCTTGACGAGGCGGTCCAGGAGCCGCCGCCCCTCGGCGGTGATGACGCCGCCGGCATCGGCGTCGTCGCCGGCGTGCCGGGCGAGGAGGCGCGCCTGCAGCGCGGCGAGGCGCCGGTGCACGTCCTCGCGCATCGCCGCCTCCACGTCGAACAGCGACAGGCGCTTGTCGGCGCGCGTGCTGGCCTCGCGCACGGCGCGCGACGGAGACACGTGCTGCAGGAAGTCCAGCTGGTTGCGCCCGACTGCGGCGCGCAGAGAGGGGGGGGGGCAGAGAGAGAGCGCGGGGGCGGGGGGGAGGCAGGGAGAGAGCGGGGGGGGGGGGGGAGCAGAGAGGATTGTTATTGTTAATAGTTGCACAGTGATGATGGTTCACATTCTCACCGCTACTACTTTCACCACTCTCACCACCACCACTACCACTCTCACCACTCTCACTTTCACCACCACCACCCTCACCACCACCCCCACCACACTCACCACCACCACCACCACCGCCACACCCACCACTCTCACCACCATCACCACCACCCTCACCACTCTGACCACCACCACTCTCACCACCACCACCACACTCACCACCACCACTCTCACCACCACCACACTCATCACCCTCACCACCCTCACCACCACCCTCATCACCACCACCACACTCACCACCCTCACCAACACCTCACCACCACACTCACCCTCACCACCACCCTCACCACCACCACCACACTCACCACACTCACCACACTCACCACCACCACCACCCTCACCGGCGTAGGCGTTGGCAGAGTCGGCGAGGGGCTTGAGGACGCTGGCGACGGTGACGTCCGCCAGCGGCACGGCCGCCACGGCGTCGTGCGCCGCTTTGGCGGCGGCGATCACCTCGTCGGTGAGGCCGTCCACCTCCGCTGCCGCCACGTTCCAGCGCAGCAGAATCTCCGGGACGACGCCAGCGTCCTTCACGTGCGACGGACCCATCGCTCTGCGGGGGGAGGGGGGGGGCAAACCGGGGCGGGGGAGGGGGCACGCGGCGGTGACGAGATGTTAACTACCTCGCCTGGTCTGCAGGAGGTCGTGGGTTCCATCATTATCCTGACGATGCCTGCTGCTGTTGCGAGATGTTAACTACCTCGCCTGGTCTGCAGGAGGTCGTGGGTTCCATCATTATCCTGACGATGCCTGCTGCTGCTGTATATTTGGAGTTTGCGGTGTTTCTCTCTATCATCATCATCATCACAGTTGCGAGATGTTAACTACCTCGCCCGGTCTGCAGGAGGTTGTTGGTTCGATCCCGACCCTGTTTTTGGAGTCTTCCTGTTCTCCGTGTATCTCTGCGGGTCTCCATTAATCCTACGGGTCTCCATGTGCCTCTGTGACAAGCGGTGGTGGTGAGATGTTAACTCCCTCGCCCGGTCTGCAGGAGGTTGTGGGTTCGATCCCGAATTTGCGGTGTCTCTTTTCCTCCGGGATTCTCTGGTGTTGCCCCTCCACATTTAGAATCGATGTCGCGCAAGGCTCCAAATAAGGAACGAAACAGGAGGGCTTCTCCACAAATCTGGCTGTCGCCTGGTGAAGCTGGTTGTAATTACTGGCGAAACGTCGTACTCAGATTGTAAATGTTGTGGCTTGGCTCTCTAACACACAACCGGTGTGCTGTACTAGTACACTACACTATACACTACACTATACACTACACTACTATACACTACACTACTACACACTACACTATACACTACTACACTAATACACACTACACTATACAATACTATACATTACACTATACACTACACTATACACTACTATACACAATACACTACACTATGCACGACTATACACAATACACTACACACTTCACTATTACACACTACACTACACTATACACTACACTACTATACACAATACACTACACTATACACTACTATACACTATACACTACACTATACACTACTATACACAATACACTACACTATACACTACACTAAATGTTTTCTCCTACAACAACAGAGTGCAGCGCCACATTAAACACGCACTACAATGCCAATAGTTTAAATCGATTTGAAGCAAGTTTTTTTTTTGGGGGGGGGGGGGCAGAGCTTTGTGACGTCATATTTGAGGGGGGGGGGGTCTGACTTTTTGTGACGCCGTGTGACGAGGGGGGGGGGGGGTCAAAAGTCGTCCCAAACCACGTGACCCCCTCCCCCCGTCCTCACTCACAGCCACTTGCCCCTACGGTCTGTTAGAGGCTACGCTGGGGGGAGGGGATCTTTGTCTTTGTCTTGGGACCAAACTGCCGCCGGGCAATGCGTGAGGGGGGTTACGGGTGGGGGGGTGTGAGTGGGGGAGTGGGGGGGTTGGTGGTTGGGGAGTGGTGGGGGAGTGGGGGGGTTGGTGGGGGGGGGTGTGGGTGTGATTGGGGGAGTGGGGGGGTTGGTGGGTTGGTGGGGGGGGGTGGTTGGGGGTGGGGCGGTTGGTGGGGGGGGGTGGGGGTGTGGGTGGGGGAGGGTTGGTGGGGGGGTGGGGCGTTTGGTGGGGGGGGGGGTGGGGGTGGGGCGGTTGGTGGGGGGGTTGGTGGGGGAATTGGTGGGGGGGTTGGTGGGGGGGTTGGTGGGGGGTGGGGAGGGTGGGGGGGTTGGTGGGGGGGTTAGTGGTGGGGGGGCGGGGGGATTGGTGGGGGTGGTGGGGGAGTTGGTGGGGGGTGGGGGGGTTGGTGGGAGGGTGGTTGGGGGTGGGGCGGTTGGTGGGGGGTTAGTGGGGGGTTGGTGGGAGGGTTGGTGGGGGGTTGTGGTGGGGGTGGTGGGGGGGGGTGGGGGAGTGGTGGGGGGGGTGAGGGGTTGGTGGGGGGGTTGTGGTGGGGGTGGTGGGGGGGGGTGGGGGAGTGGTGGGGGGGGTGAGGGGTTGGTGGGGGGGTTGGTGGGGGGGGTTGGCGGGGGGGTAGTGGGGGGGGTGACCTCCTTGCCTGCCCGGGCTGACGACGCTGCAACTCGCGGGGGTCGAGGGAGCGAGTTGAGGAGGAGACGTCGTTAGTGGCGGCGGCGGCGCTGAGGAGACGGCGCTGAGGAGACGGAGCGGCGAATTAAGGAGGAGACGGAGCGGGCGAGACGACGGAGCGGGACGGAGGAGACGGAGCGGCGAATTGAGGAGGAGGAGACGGAGCGGACGGAGCCCAACGCGAAGAGCCGACAGCAGCATGTGGCGGATCGATTCCTCTCGCCGGCGTCGATCCGAGCGCGTCGATTCTTTTTCGCGGTGTCGATTCTCATCGATGTACTGACCTGGCTGGGTGGTGTTTGTGTGTGTCGTGGTTTGTGTGTCTGGGACTTGCTGGTGGTGTTGGTGTCTTGCTTGCCCAAGCTTGGGGATTGGTGGACTTTAGCAAGTTGTCATTTAGTAACTTTCATCCTGAGTCAACCCCCCATCCCCCAGTTCGTTCTCGATTTGAAGTTTTCGTGCAATATTTTGCTGTCTTTTCTTGGATTTTCTGTTTGCACTTAGTCACATATTCACTTTAAGATGTTGTTTTAACAGACAACGAGACAAGAAGTCGTTTAATGTTTTACTTGCGGTGACTTTACCGATGAAACCAGAGAGTATGACCCCCCCCCAACCACCACCACCCCATGTGTTTTCTAGAGTTCAACTTTAAGGGGTCAATTCTCATCGATGTACTGACGGCTGGGTGGTGTTTGTGTCGTGGTTTGTGTGTCTGTGACTGGCTGGTGATGTTGGTGTCTTGCTTGCCCAAGCTTGGGGATTGGTGGACTTTAGCAAGATGCTGGATGCAATTACCAGCGAAACGTCGTACTACTCAAATTGTAAATTGTTGTGGTTTCACACTTCAACACACCGGTGGGCTAAAGCAGTGAACTATTTGTCTTTTGTCAACGTGACACTTTTTTTACTGATTGGCCGTGTCGGGTGGTGGAGGGTTACGACACATTTATAAATAACGCGATCTAAACCCAAAAACGTTGATTATGAATTTGTCATTTAGTAACTTTCATCCTGAGTCAACCCCCCACCCCCACCCCCCGTTCTCGATTTGAAGTTTTCGTACAATATTTTGCTGTCTTTTCTTGGATTTTCTGTTTGCACTTAGTCACATATTCACTTTAAGATGTTTTTTGTTCGTGTTTTTTGTTTGCTGCGGTTGCACCCGATTCAAGAGCCGAATGGCTCACAGGGCTACACCTGATACATGAACTTGAACTTGACTTCAAGGATTCATACTTTTGGAGTTTTGCTGGTGATGTTGGTGTCTTGCCCAAGCTTGGGGATTTCTGGATTTGAGCAAATTGTCAATTAGTAACTTTCATCCTGAGTCCCCCCCCCCCCCCCACCCGTTCTAGATTTGAAGTTTTCGTGCAATATTTTATTTTGCCGTGTGACGAAGGAGGGGGGGGGGGGTCAAAAATCGTCCAAAATCGCGTGACGTCATTTATGGACGGTCCCTTTTGTGTTTCTCCCTTGTGATTGGACTTCATAGGGTGAACGTTGAGATTTATAAAGGGGCACGGGGCTGACCAATATGTTCTTAGGTGTTTTCGGTAAAGTCACGTAGGTAAAACATTAAAATTAATAAAAGTAAAATAAAATAAAAATCACGACGTTTCGGAGGCAACACAAGTCTTCGTCATCAGGTGGAACCGTCACAGCCACGACAGCTGTATCAAGTAAATGAGAGATTGCAAGAGCTACCACTCCAACCATTATATAAACGGAGTGGTAGCTCCTGCAATCTCTCATTCACTTGATACAGCTGTCGTGGCTGTGACGGTTCCACCTGAAGACGGAAGCTTGTGTTGCCTCCGAAACGTCGTGATTTTTATTTTATTTTACTTTTATTAATTTTAATATTTTACCTACGTGACTTTACCGAAAAAACCTAAGAATATGAATCCTTGCAGTCACGAAAGCTTCAAATCTAGAACTGACCAATATGGTCTGAATGTGTCTGTGATAATGTATTTGCGCTCTCTCTCTCACCGTGTTGATCGCGTGTTTACTCACCCACCACCACCACCCCTCCACATTTAGAATCAACATCACGCCGTTTTAAAAATAAGTCATTTAAAAATACTTTTTTAGAAACACGCTTTAATGAAATGTACACTACTGGTAATGGAAGAACTCCACGACTCCACGAAGTGGCCCCGAAGCTTGCCACAACGTGATTTACAGCCAACGTGTGGACAATTAGACCCAAGCCGAAACATAACATGTAAAAAATGTTTAAAAATATGTATTTTAATGGTAGAATATAGTATTGTCATCAGTATGACATAAGTATACCAAGTCTGCAGTCGATACCGCATTGGGAAGTGGGTTAAAATTTAGTTACAAGATGTGAGGACACAACAACAGAGTGAGTTAATAGAAACCGTGTAAAAAGAGCGTTTAAACATTCATTAAAAAATGTATGATAGAATATAGTATTGTCATCAGTAAGACATAAGTATACCAAGTTTGCAGTCAATGCCACATTGGGAAGTGGGTTAAACTTTAGTTACAAATTGAGGATACGACAACAGACAGAGTGAGTTAAATAAAAAGCGCGTAAAAGATTGTTTAAAAATATATTTTTTATGATGAAATATAGTGTTGTCATCAGTATGACATAAGTATACGAAGTTTGCACATTGGGAAGTTGGTTAAAATTGAGTTACAAATTGAGGATACGACAACAACAGACAGAGTGAGTTAATAGAAAGCGTGTAAAAAGATTGTTTAAAAATCCATTCACATTTTAATGATAGAATATAGTATTGTCATCAGTAAGACATAACTATACCAAGTTTGCAGTCGATAGCACATTGGGAAGTGGGTTAAAATTTAGTTACAAGATTTGAGAATACAACAACAGAGTGAGTTAATAGAAAGCGTGTAAAAAGATTGTTTAAAAATCCATTTAAAATTTTTTATGAAAGAATATAGTATTCATTTTCTTGGTTCTTTCGGTAAAGTCACGTAGAATAGAAATAATAAAATAATAAAACATAATAAAATAATTCTCACGACGTTTCGGCCACAACGCAAGCAGCCGTCCTCAGGTGAAAAACAGGTCTGTCAGAAAGACAGCGTCTGAGTATTGTCATCAGTAAGACATAACTATACGAAGTTTGCAGTCGATACCGCATTGGGAAGTGGGTTAAACTTTAGTTACAACATTTGAGGATACGACAACAACAGACAGAGTGAGTTAAATAAAAGCTTGTAATAAAATAATAAAAAATGAGAGTTAATTTGGCTCCTGCCATACACAACAATTCCCATGCGAAAAGTCCTCTTCGTCGTCGCTATCATCATTTGCGACGGCCCAGGTCACTTCCCTGAAAGAATAATGGCAACGTAGCCTCAGTGGGAACTTTGTACCTTGTAAAATACATAGACTTGTTGCTAAATCGTTACCTCCAAGCATTTCCATGTAAACCTCAACACATGGCAAAACATCTTTTCCAAGAATCGAAATCGAATCGATTCCGCGGTGGATCGCGTGGAGTCGTTAGAGGAATCGATCCTTGCCCGGGGGGTGGGTTGACAAAGGTACCCCGTGTAGCCTTCGCCGACTCTAGGGGCAAGTGGCTGTGAGCGAGTAGCAGCTACACCTGCGGGTTTACTCGTTTGAGGCCGAGTCGACCTAGGTGGAGGCCCGCGAACCGGTTCGGAGAATCCGTCACCGCCTTGTCCGGTGGCCGTGAGCGGGAATGGAACGATGGGGCGCGCTAACCGCTGCGCCACCACTCCCCACCGCGTGCCTTTGGCCCTCCATTCCTCAAGAGCTGATCGCCTTGTTTGAGAGGGAGTGGGGCTGGGTGGGTGTGGGTGGGGCTGGGTGGTGTGAGTGGGGCTGGGTGGGTGTTGGTGGGGATGGGGTGTGTAGGTGGGGCTGGGTGGTGGGGCTGGGTGGAGTGGGTGGGGCTGGGTGGTGTGAGTGGGGCTGGGTGGTGTGGGTGTGTGAGTGGGGCTGGGTGGTGTGGGTGGGGCTGGGTGGTGTTAGTGGGGCTGGGTAGTGTGGGTGGGGCTGGGTGGTGTGGGTGGGGATGGGTGGTGTTAGTGGGGCTGGGTGGTGTGGGTGGGGCTGGGTGGTGGGGGTGGGGCTGGGTGGTGGGGGTGGGTGGTGTGAGTGGGGCTGGGTGGTGTGGGTGGGGCTGGGTGGTGGGGCTGGGTGGTGGGGCTGGGTGGTGTGAGTGGGGATGGGTGGTGTGGGTGGGGATGGGTGGTGGGAGTGGGGCTGGGTGGTGTGGGTGGGGCTGGGTGGTGGGGCTGGGTGGTGTGAGTGGGGCTGGGTGGTGTGGATGGGTGGTGGGAGTGGGGCTGGGTGGTGTGGGTGGGGCTGGGTGGTGTGGATGGGTGGTGGGGCTGGGTGGTGTGGGTTGGGCTGGGTGGTGTGGGTGGGGCTGGGTGGTGGGGCTGGGTGGTGTGAGTGGGGCTGGGTGGGTGTTGGTGGGGATGGGGTGTGTAGGTGGGGCTGGGTGGTGGGGCTGGGTGGAGTGGGTGGGGCTGGGTGGTGTGAGTGGGGCTGGGTGGTGTGGGTGTGTGAGTGGGGCTGGGTGGTGTGGGTGGGGCTGGGTGGTGTTAGTGGGGCTGGGTAGTGTGGGTGGGGCTGGGTGGTGTGGGTGGGGATGGGTGGTGTTAGTGGGGCTGGGTGGTGTGGGTGGGGCTGGGTGGTGGGGGTGGGGCTGGGTGGTGGGGGTGGGGATGGGTGGTGGGAGTGGGGCTGGGTGGTGTTAGAGGGGCTGGGTGGTGGGGCAGGGTGGTGTGGGTGGGGCTGGGTGGTGGGGCTGGGTGGTGTGAGTGGGGCTGGGTGGTGTGGGTGGGGCTGGGTGGTGGGGCTGGGTGGTGGGGCTGGGTGGTGTGAGTGGGGATGGGTGGTGTGGGTGGGGATGGGTGGTGGGAGTGGGGCTGGGTGGTGTGGGTGGGGCTGGGTGGTGGGGCTGGGTGGTGTGGATGGGTGGTGGGAGTGGGGCTGGGTGGTGTGGGTGGGGCTGGGTGGTGTGGATGGGTGGTGGGGCTGGGTGGTGTGGGTTGGGCTGGGTGGTGTGGGTGGGGCTGGGTGGTGTGAGTGGGGCTGGGTGGTGTGGATGGGTGGTGTGGGTGGGGATGGGTGGTGGGAGTGGGGCTGGGTGGTGTGGGTGGGGCTGGGTGGTGTGGATGGGTGGTGGGGCTGGGTGGTGTGGGTGGGGCTGGGTGGTGTTAGTGGGGCTGGGTGGTGGGGCAGGGTGGTGTGAGTGGGGCTGGGTGGTGTGGGTTGGGGCTGGTGGGTGGTGGTCACGTGACGTAGGGAGAGCGATCCCATCGAGTGACGTTGGAGAACAAAAAAAATGGAACGCTGTGACGTCATCGTCCGCGTCGCCCCGCCCCCTAAACACCATTCGGTGACGTCGCCACAGCCCCTGTGCCAGGCCACGTGCACTTTGAGGCTGCCACGTGAAGTGTCGAAGGCTCGCTGCTGGCAGGTCACGGGACAGACCCAGGTGCCGTGGGTTGGCTGACTGAGATGACCGGTAGATGCACCACCAGCTGTACCAGGCTAGGTGCCGTGGGTTGGCTGAGATGACTGGTAGATGCACCACCAGCTGTACCAGGCTAGGTGCAGGAGGGTCTCGGGACAGACCCAGGTGCCATGGGTTGGCCGACTGAGATGACCAGTAGATGCACCACCAGCTGTACCAGGCTGGGTGCATGTCTCGGGACAGACCCAGGTGCCATGGGCTGGCTGACTGAGATGACCGGTAGATGCACCACCAGCTGTACCAGGCTAGGTGCAGGTCTCGGGACAGACCCAGGTGCCATGGGTTGGCCGACTGAGATGACCGGTAGATGCACCACCAGCTGTACCAGGCTGGGTGCATGTCTCGGGACAGACCCAGGTGCCATGGGCTGGCTGACTGAGATGACCGGTAGATGCACCACCAGCTGTACCAGGCTAGGTGCAGGTCTCGGGACAGACCCAGGTGCCATGGGTTGTCTCGGGTGTGGACCAATCAACTTCAAGGACAGTGCATATCATTATAATCATCAGAGTTGTTTATTTTTGTTTGCATTTTGACTGCTTGTGTTGTGGTTATTGCAAACATGATGCCTTGTATAGAGGTGTCAGTTTTTGTACCAGTTGAAAGGGTAAAAACCTATCACTATATTTTGCCACTGGTAAAGGAGGTCTCGTAGTGTAAATGCTTACCCCGAGCTTTTAATACTCTGATAGTGCGCTGTCTTTGAGTTGTACGCCTTTTGGCGTCATCTGGTCCAACACCAAGTGAGACTAGGCTCTAAGAAAAGCTGTCTCGGGTGTGGACCAATCAACTTCAAGGACAGTGCTTATCATTATCAGAGTTGTTTCTTTTTGTTTGCATTTTGACTGCTTGTGGTTATAGCAAACATGATCCGTTGTATAAAGGTGTCAGTTTTTGTACCAGATAAAAGGGTAAAAACCTATTACTAAACGTGTTTGGGTTAGATCGCGTTATTTATAAATGTGTCGTAACCCTCCACCACCCGACATGGCCAATCAGCAAAAAAAAAGTGTCACGTTGACAAAAGACAAATACCATTGGAACCTCATTTGCCAGTAAAAAATATGATAATAGTTTTTTACCCTTCTATCTGGCAACAAAACTGACATTTTTTACAAGGAATCATGTTTACATAGACCACAATACCTGCAGCAATCATGTTTTTTGTTTGCATTATGGCTGCAGGTATTGTGGTCTATGCAAACATGACTCCTTATAAAAAAGGTGTCAGTTTTGTTGCCAGATAGAAGGGTAAAAAACCAATTATCAAAAGACAAATAGTTCACTACTTTAGCCCACCGGTGTGTTGAGGAGTGAATCCACAACATTTGCAATTTTTGACTCGTACGACGTTTCGCCGGTAATTACATCCAGCATCATCGGGCAATTCGACCAGAATGAGGAACTCTGTAGGCCGAGCCAACGCATCTGGGTGCACGAGTTTGTCAAAGGAGGCAATGACATCGACCGATGCAAGCAACACGAGGACAGGCGGTCGAGGAAGACTGTGTAAAATACTTTAATGTCACTACATTTCGTTTACGCTGGAAAGCCGTCGCAAAGCCTCGCTTTCGCGCGTCAATAAACCCCCGCCCCCCGCCGCCCCCGCAAGTCAACCCTCGGCAAGAGATCTCAGTGTTAGCGGTGGGAGGGCAACGGAGGCGATTACAAACATAGGGTAACAGCAACGGGGGGGGGGGGGGGGGGGGGAGGTTATGGCACTGGGCAAACGCCTCGGCAATGTGCGGTCAAATAAACCGCACGAAAGTGGTAAGGGGGCCTCATCATCCAGCAGCGGAGATTGACCGCGCGCGTGTTTGCATCGCGTGCCCGTCCGCAACGATACTTGGGTTGCAACATGAGTCGAGCGGGCCACGTCCGTGGTGACACTGCACCGCGAGAGAGAGGAGAGGGGGGGAGCATAGCTTCGCCACGTGACGCGAGGTCCATGTGACGGCTTTCGATCCGAGGGGTCGTGGGGGGAGGGAACACTTCTGGAAAACAACGCAAGGCACTTAGGGTAGTTAGCTTGTTTTTGTTTTGTGTGTTACGGTTCGCGACGAACACCCTCGCCCCCTTCGCTCACTAAGCACGCTGCTAACGTGATGCTCTACGTGTAAAAAAAATCGAAACGGCAAACTACCTTTATGTCATCGTAACGGACGTAAATGTATTAATTTACGCGAGCTACAAAAGCTAATGTTCTACCGTTATATAAAAAATGATATATATTTAATGCTACCTCAGGGGTAGTAACCGATGTACCAACACGATGCTCCTTGATGCACTAAAAAAACTAAAAAAAAACTATCGTATGTAGTACAAGACAGAAATGTTCCGCGAGTACGTACAACGCTACTTACGCGCATTAAGGCAACCGCATCCTGCTTACTTGAGGCAAAAGAAGACAAATCGACCTAAAAACTACTGCTGTTCCACTCCAACCAAAGTATAAATATTCCCCACTTCCGCTGTGAAATGTGAACTCGATGTTGTGCCGTGTGTGGAAGCGACGACGAAGATGATGGACACGTAGCGATTTGGCAACTTAAAATCGAATCTTAAAGCCGGGTTCCCCACACCCGAGCGGATCAGCTGCTGCGACCAAACGGCTTTCGAATTCGCGGCAAACTTAATCGTCGCCCGCGACTGCTTTGTCCGCATCTGAGCAAATAGTTGTGCCAAAAAACATGTCAACGTGATGAAATACTACGAGAGGTTTTTTTGGGGGGTTAGATCGCGCGTATAGATATAAATGTGTCGTGAAAACCGCCACCACCCGACACAGCCAATTAGTAGTAAGGTCCGTCACGTAAAAAAGAACGTGGCAATTCGTCACCAGTTTTGTTTGCGAATTGGCCGTGTCGGGTCGTGGCGGGTTTAAACGACGCATTTATATTTGCGAAGATCTAACACGAAAAAAACATTTTGTGGATAACATTGCTTGCCAAAGTCATGCTAAGCGTGATGAAATACAGCGCTTTGAATCGCTGAGCTGATCGATTTAAAGTAGAGATAATTTTAATAACGATGAACTATTTTTTATTTTACCAGGTAAGGCCTCGCTGTCGCGAACGATAGCTCGGCGAAACGGCTTATCGTTGTGTGGAAATTTATGGCGGTTTCTGAATGTGACGGGGAAAAACCGGAGGACCCGGAGAAAAATCCACACGACCACGGGGAGAACACGGAAACTCCCAAATATACAGCAGGCGTCAGGGTCGGGATCGAACCCAGCACCTCCTGTATACAAGGCAAGGTAGTGAACATCTCGCCAACGTGGCGCCCAATGATGTCCACGCGCAAGGGATTACGTTGCATGCAACAAAGTTGCACGGCAGACGGCTCAGGCGTGGACCCCGTTTGCTTTAACACGTCACGATTCAAGTTGTCCGCGGTGTGCGTAAGAGGGGAAAAAGTGTTTGCGATTTGCGCAAGTTCGCGCCACTATGAAGTCCAACCTACAATCCGCGACTTGATTTCTCACAGTCTGCGGCCACTCGAGGCCTACCAACAACTTCGGGGCTGCCACCCTACAGAGGTACAAAAACTGGGGCGCGCGTCACGGGGATAAAAATATGCCACGATCCTGGAAGAGGGGGGAAACTGCATTGTAAACGCGTTGAGTGGCATATCATTTTGCGCAAACGACAAAACAACCACGGGTGACTTTTTAACATCCCGGGGGAAGACTTGCAGATATTAGCCGCCTCGAAAAGAAAAGGACAATCCTGGGCACACCAGGCCCGGGAAAACGACTTTCATCCGTCCCGTCTCATTCGGAACTTTCGACCCGACACTGTCGTCGCTAGCAAGAGGCAAAGCGGTCGCAAGGCATCGCACGTTGGTGTGGTAAAGGTGGGGTCCCTCCGCTTATTCCTCGCATTACTGTCGGATAACGCCAAGGACGTGCGGCGGCCCCTGCCGAAGGTATCCGAAAGTCCAATTTGGCCCTTGATAAGGAAAACGTTTTCCCACCGCCGACCTATAGATTCGTGTGTCAATATACGACAAGATACATCTTATCGTTCACGCCACTTTAGCGTCCGTAGATTTAGTACCGCGACAGGTTGCCCAAGTTAGGCGACGGCGAAAAATAAAAAATATTGGTTTGAGATCCAAAAACGTGACGATCGAACCGCGGACGGGGCTACATCGTTGCATTCGTAGTTTGCTTGACTGGGTAAGCTAGGGTCGAGCGCGCAGTACGCTCTCTTATAGCGTGAAGCGCGTGAAACTTCAGCGGGTGTGGTGGGGGTGCGATCCATTATCGTGATGTGTGTTTTAGTTGTGCACAGTGAAGTTGGAGCAAGGTGTATCCAAAGTCGACTTGTACGATGTACGCAGTGTCGCGCGCGTTACGTAGCGGTTCCCAAAGCGGTGTGTGCGCGGTTGCTTCAGTTATTTTCTACGGCGGCAAATGATGGTGGCGCGCAACGGCGCGATGGTGTGGAGCAATTCCTGCGAGCACGGCGTAGCAGTGTGTACAGTCGCGTTCCATTGTGCATTGTAGTGATCTCATAGGAGTGTTATATTTTCGTGGCATATACAAGTGGTCACCAACTTGGTATATGAGCATCATCATCGTAGTGTTCTATCAGTGTGCTGTGCATAGCAACATGTCTGCGGTGTATTCGCTTCACGTGGTTAGTATTACATAAACATGCTGCGTATAGTAGTTTTACTAAGGCGTGACGAGTAAGAGGAGTATTTTGAGCGTGGCGCATTTAAAAAAAAAAACCCGGCTTTGTCCACTTAGTTTACGCGTGTACTCGACCAGAATTTCATTCCGCCAGTATTGTAGCATACGTTAAGTCCTCACTTAACGCGTGTTCACACCATCACGCGTTTTCGCTGTGACGCGGTTAATTCCATCGGGGACCAATTGTCGGTTACAAAGCGGAGCGCGCGCACGCCGTTATTACACGTCGCTACCGTGTCGTCAGCTGAGCGGTGAGCGGTGCAGTAATACAGTGTGCGGAATTAACAGTAACGTGGCGGCGGTGGCGGCGTACCCTCAGTTATTCGTCCTGCCATCTCACCGCGCGGTGCGTGTGGTAGTAGTAGTAGTCGTCGTACACCGTACCTCGCCACACTTCATCGTTACATTACTGAACCGTTTTCACTTTGCGTTTTTTTGTCTGAACGCGGAGCCTGTTACGAAGGCATCTACTACTACTAGCGCGGCGTTCGACGTGTGCTCGCCGCGTCTTGTTCGAGTGTGGAGTAAAATTGGAGCGTTCCGCAAGCTGCGTTCTATGGAACCGGCGTGGCGCGTGCAGAGCAGCGTCCTTGTCGTTTGCTGCGGCGTTCCGTCGCCATCGCCGTCGCCAAAGCACCGCGCACGGAACGGGGAGGTAACTCGCGATTGTAGTCCGGTTAACAGAAGACAGGCGACCGTAATCCGGCGTTGTTCGTTTGTCTGGCGCGTAATCGGATTGGCAACTCTCACTCGGCACGTCAATGACTTTGATTTGTAAGACAATTGAAAAGTGATTCTACGAAACAATTAGAAGCAGGAAATTTGTGTGTCAGCCAATGCACAGAGACCAGGCTACCAATTCTGCAAGAGACAAACCAGGTGTCCGATTTGCCTCTATTCTCCAATCAGTTATCTGTATGCACGCCGAAAAAAGGGGGTTCACAAATTAAAAATTGGTGGACAAAACATGATAAAATAATGTAACCCGCCAAAAAAACTGTGCTTATTTTCACATCCGTTTTTTTTAGCGTTTACGAATTTAGGAAGCGGTGAATAACACATGAGCCCGTTTCAATATCACCTGCAATGACCCGTCAAATTTTTCCTGTCAGACCTCAGAAGCGAAGCAGATTTGTGCCTGACTAGTGCCGCCGGCAACAGGGGGCAGTGTCCGCTTCCGTGTCGTCACCGTGTCGTCAACGTGTCGTCGTTGCCACGTCGTTGCCGTGACGACACCGTAACATCGCCGTGTCCGTCGCCGTGTCGTCGTCGCCGTGGCAACGCCAGCATCACTCCTGCGCCTCCTTGCCGGCGAGGCGGTAGACCTCGGTGGGTGCCGTGTTCGAGCCTCCTGCCAACGCCGTCGTCGCCGTGGTCAGCTCCTCCCCGTGGGCCAGGGCGATGTCACCTGCCGTGGTTCAAAGTTCAAAGTTCATCGATTAGGTGTAGCCCTGTGAGCCATTCGGCTCTTGAATCGGGTGCAACCGCAACAAACAAAAAAATTTACCCGTAAAAACTAAGTTTTTCACTATAAATCCTTTATATGCGTGGCGGCTAGAGTCCTCTCGTCCTCTGGCTTGAGATGGCTGCCACCTATGGGTCAGATGAATGGCTGCCACCATTAAGCAATTGGTTATTAAATATAATTTTTTTTTCCTAAAAAGTGTAAAGTTATGGAAAAAAATTTTCACGAAAATAAATTGTCACGCACAACGAGTCTGTGTGCTAAATGTCAGCTCGATTGGATCACGGGAAGTAGGTTAAAAACGACCGAAAGATTTGCACGGTCGTAAGCGGGCAAGCAAGCAAGTGAACTTAATATAAAGGATTTAAAAACATGAACAAGAAAACATCTTAAAGTGACTGAGTGCAAACAGAAAATCCAAGAAAAGACAGCAAAATATTGCAGAAAAAAAGCACCATACACCAACGCTGTGTGCAAAAATCCTAGTCGGATGCAAGTCAAACAACAACATCCACAAGACAACTTAGATTAAGGCCATCAGTCTAACTCTGTACTACCAACAAACATGGCCAAAACAGTAAACTTTTCGAAAATCACCAAAATAAAGCCATAAAAGCAATGAAACAGTGGTCATAGGAACTGTGACCGAATTTTCACAATAAACGACGTAAACAACACGTACTACCAAACTCTGCAGCCATAGCTGGCTGCACGAGTCACTCCACAAGAGTAGGAGCATCAGTCGGAGTATACGTCATGTTCATGGTGGGTGGAGGTGGAGGAACGGTGTGAAAGTCGGTGGTGGCGGTTGCGAAAAGAAACATTCGCGAATTATTTAACGTTTTTTTTGTTTTCCTCTCCCCGCTAATTTTATCCCAAATGTGCCATCGGCATCGCGCCGTGAGATGCCGCGTGGCGTCCTTCACCGGGTTCAACTCGCTAACGGCACTTGACCCCCAAAGTTCTATTAAGGCAGGGGTGTCCAAACTTTTTGCAAAGAGGGCGACTACATAGTACTGATGATACTATGTAGTTTATACTTTAGTTGTTTACGTGTTGGTTTTAGTTACTGCAGCTACATACTATTAACATTCCTTCCCTTTATTAATGCTACCCCTATCCCCTCCCTGTGATGCTGCTAATCCTGCATCATGCACGGGCATAATTAGTACTATTCACATACCTGCATTTCCCATATCCCCTCCCATTGATGCTGCTAATCCTGCATAATGCACGGGCATAAGTAGTACTAATCACATTCCTGCATTTCCCATAAATATGCTAAATTCCTCTTCATATGCAAATTCTTTTGTCGAAGTGCCCTTTCCCCCCCTCCCAACCCAGCTTATATATATGCTCCAAGCACGTGTGCTGTTTCATTCAGACGCTGTCTCCTCGACAGACCTGGTTTCACCTGAGGACGGCTGCTTGCGTTGTGGCCGAAACGTCGTGAAAATTATTTTATTATTATGTTTTATTTTAATTATTTTATTATTTCCCTTCTACGTGACTTTACCGAAAGAACCAAGAAGATGAATCCCTGCAGTCACGAAAGCTTTAAATCGAAATATGGGCCACATTTGATAAAGTGAAGATGCCCGGGGGCCAATAGTTCCTTTTGACATTGTTTTAACCACAAAAGTTACGTGGAAACACACATTGTTATAAAACAATTTTATTGTCACAATTACCTTTATTTTTCAAGTGACAATGTAACAAAATACAAGCCACTCAGGCAGACGTGAACAACGCAATTCTGCCTTTCATTCAGTCAGATAACATTGAACAAACTGTATAGAATACCTTAAATTTCCATGAGTTTTATGATGTATTTATTCTGACAGATTTGGCTAGCCATAAATAACACATTATAAGACCGAAGCTGCGGACCGTATGAAATCTGCCCGCGGGCCGGACTTTGGACATGCCTGTGTTAAGGCTACACGGTGAGAGAGGGGGGGGGGGGGTATCTTTGTGTCTTTGCGCGAGGGAGCGAGCGTCACCTTCGGAGCGGTCGGTGTCCCCGTAGCGCTTGTGCGAGGGCGCGTAGAGGAACATGACGGAGAAGACGTACATGTTCCACATGCCGTACACGCCCGTGAAGAACGCCGCGTTCACGTGCACCGTGCGGTCGCCCCACTTCCAGTGACCCTCGTTCACCTACAAGGAGGTGGTGGGGGGCGGGGGGGGTAAGGGCGCGTTGAAGACGGTCATTATCATCGTCGTCATCGTCATCGACAACGTCGTGAGCATCGTCGTCATCGTCACAACTACCATCACTGTCTCAATCATCATCGTCGTCCTCGTCACCGTCAACATCACCATCTTAATCATCTTCATCTGACATCCACGTCATCTTCACCGTCATCACTATCGCCGTCATCGTCATCGCTGCCCCCGCCAAAGACAAAGTTCCCTCCTCCCCTTAGTCCAAACAGACTGTTGGGGCAAGTGCTGTTAGCGAGCACCTACAAAGGCCGGCACGGCACACGAGGGAGCGGGTGGCCAGCACCACGCCCGCCTGCCCGCCTTGTCTCCCTACTTGCAATATTTGCACACCGCACCAGGTACTCATTTGAGGCCGAGTCGACCTAGGGGGAGGCCCGGTACCTGTTCAGATAATCGTCACTGGTGTTCGTGGACGTGAGCGGGAATCTACAGTGAAACCTTGGATTGCGAGTAACTTGTTCTGCGAGTGTTTTGCAAGACGAGTACTGTACGTACAGTATACGCTGTCTGCCGAGCGTCACGTGATCACAACTGAGCCGATGGTTCTTCTCTCTCTCTCTCTGCGGGATTGTGGGTAATCGTCTCCCATGCTCGGTCTCAGTCGGCGTGCCTCACTCGTATATAGTCAACATCCGTGCGAGCGTAGACTGTTTACAGTAGTCTTGTGTACCAGGTGTGTGTGTCTAAAGCATTTTTTTATTTTGTGTCCAAGTGTAGTGACTGTTCTTTAGTAGCTGTACTGCAACAATGACCCCCTCCTCCTCTCCTCTCTCTCGTCTCCCTCACACCAGCCATGATTAAATTTAACTAATACATTTGATTACTTTATATTAAATTTCAATAATAAAAATATAAAAAGGTATTTTGTATTAATCATTTTTACATTAATATTTTTGGGTTGTGGAATGAATCATCTGAGTTTCCATTATTTTTCGATTTAAAGCTTTCGTGACTGCAGGGATTCATCTTCTTGGTTCTTTCAGTAAAGTCACGTAGAATGGAAATAAAAAAAATAATAAAAATAAAACATAATAAAATAATTCTCACGACGTTTCGGCCACAATGCAAGCAGCCGTCCTCAGGTGGAGAGCAGGTCTGTCGAGTAGACAGTCTGAATGACAGACCTGTTCTCCACCTGAGCATTGTGGCCGAAACGTCGTGAGAATTATTTTATTATGTTTTATTTTTATTATTTTATTATTTCCATTCTACGTGACTTTACCGAAAGAACCAAGAAGATGATTTCCATTATTTCTTATGGGGAAATTCGCTTTGATATACGAGTGCTTTGAATCATGAGCACGTGTCCGGAACGAATTATGCTCGCAATCCAAGGTTTCACTGTACACTGCAACCGCTCCCCTACAGCTCGACACTAAAGACAAGAGAACAAACAGCGAGGCAGGCGAGACTGAACAACGAATGTCACTGTGGTTGTGGGCGTGGTGGCGAAGAGTGCTCCACACTTGATACAGCTGTCGGGGCTGTGACGGTTCCACCTGAAGACGGAAGCTTGTGTTGCCTCCAAAACGTTGTGATTTTATTTTATTTATTAATTTTAATTTTTTACCTACGTGACTTTACCGAAAAAACCTAAGAAGAGTGCTCCACACACCTGGCTGATGATGAAGAAGATGACCGTGAGAGCAGCACAACCCAAGGTGGTCAGCATCAGGAACTTGAACCGGAAGATCAAACCCTGCACATCACCACAACCATCACCAACAGCCACCATCATATGTTGTTAACTACTTCGCCTGGTATACAGCTGTGTCATGGGTTCGATCCCGACCCTGATGATGCCTGTGTAATAAAGGTCGTTGAGGCGACTTCTGGAATCCGGTCTTTTATTCACTTTGCATTACAGCTTTCCTTCCCGCTGCTGACAGGCAGCGTGAGAGGGACAGATAGCGGGAGAGACGCACTGCCACGTGGCAACCCGGAGCCCTGTTCCCGCGTGGCCCCTTCCTCTCTTCGTTCCCGTTCTGACCACGTGTCGTTCGTCTCCACCCCTATTTAATACCCGGGTCACGCGGTACGTTCCGCCAATCCTGGTTAGCCTCCATGGAATATTCTAGGCTCCGTCGTAGGCTCCCGGGACCACGCCCCTGACTCGTCTCCCCATTGGCTGTGGCCAAAGCCAGCAGAACCAATCCTCTACTTGCAGCTGTCACCTTTCCATGACGTCAGGGCCACGCCCCTAGGCTTCCCCCCATTGGCTATGGACCAGGACCGGCAGAGCCAATCATCGTGACGAGTTGTGATACGTCAGTGAGCCGGATATATCCTCACATTACACCTGTATATTTGGAGTTTGCGTGCCTTTCTTCTCTGTGGTCGTCGTGTGAATTTTTTCTCCGGGTCCTCGGAAAATCCCTTCCACGTTTAGAATCAACATCGCACGTTTAGAGTATTTGGCTACTGCTATGAATTGCCACGTGACGATAGGCCGCTTCGTTGAGCTATTATTGGTGGCCAAGTCGCTTCTGAAAAGAGCTACGTAGTTCAGCGGGCCTAAGTTGGTAACATAAAAAACTGTTAGGTACAGTTGTTTTTAGCACATCTACATTTACCACAAGGCAATGCAGTGACCTATTTGTTATTTAAAATCAAATAAAGAATCTGAATCGGGCAATTCAAGCAAATCGTGAGTGAGCAAGTAAGGCGTGTGATTGAGTGAGCAATTTAGTGCTTATAGCATCCGTGCGAGGGAGTGAGCGAGTGAGTGTGCGAGTGAGGTGAGCGAGTGAGTGAGCGAGTGAGTGAGCGAACTAGCGAGTTAGCAAGCGTGCATCTGTGCGACTGAGTGGCGAGGTGAGTGATGTGAGCGAGCGAACAAGCGCTTAATCAGCGTCCGTGCAAGTGAGTGAGCGTGTGAAGCGAGGCGAGGCTAGCGAGTTAGCAAGCGTGCATCTGTGCGACTAAGTGTGCGAGTGAGTGAGTAAGTGAGGAAGCTAGTGATTACTAAGCGTCTGTACAAGTGAGCGAACGAGCGAGAAAGCATGTGAGAGAACAAGCCATCCCCAGCGCTTAGTAAGCAGTGTGATGAGCAAGCTATGTAGCACTTCGTAAGCGTCTGTGCAAGAAGCGGGCATCCGAGCGAGTGCTACAGCGAGCGTGGGTGAGCGAGCTAGCAGAGTTACTAACATCCGTGCGAGTAGGTGGACGAGTGAGTGGAACGAGATGAGTGACGAGGGAGTGGACGAGTGAGTGGATGGGCGAGCGTGGGAGGTGAGCGAGCTAGCAGAGTTACTAAGCATCCGTGCGAGCGAGTGGACGAGTGAGTGGACGAGTGAGTGGCGAGGAGTGGACATGTGAGTGGATGAGCGAGTGGACGAGCGAGCGTAGGAGTGAGCGAGCTAGCAGAGTTACTAAGCATCCGTGCGAGCGAGTGGGCACGCCACCTCATAATGCAGCCGTCGCACGCGAGACATGGGGGCAGGAAGGAACGTTTGCCGCCGATGTTTGCGGAACACTTGGTAGACCATGAAGGTGAGGAAGAGGAAGTAGAGGCATGCGCACACGCCCGCCAGCACGATGAACGCCGTCTGATACGACGCCGTTAAGGAAATGGAACCGAGGCATGGTTGGGCAGCAAAAACGAAGACGATACGAACACATTCCTGCGGAGGGAGCTGGTAGGAACGTTGGGTTGCTCGGTCAATGGTCAGGGTCAACGGCGGCGTGGTGTATTCTGCAAATATGGCGACTGTGAGGGCGGGCACAAGCCGGCGTGAGTAGGTTAAACGTTGAGTTTTATAAGGCACCACGGGGTGACCAGCCCCTTCCCACCCAACCCCCAGCCCCACCCTCCCCACCCCAGCCCCACCCTCCCCACCCACCCCACCCTCCCCCCCCCCACCCCACCCACCACCCACCCCCCCACCACCCACCCTCCCCCCCTCCCCACCCAGCCCACCCTCCCCACCCTCCCCACCAACCCTCCCCACCCCACCCTCCCACCCCATCCAGCCCCTCCCTCCCCACCCAGCCCCTCCCTCCCCACCCCACCCAGCCCCTCCCCCCCACACACCCAGCCCCTCTCTCCCCACCCCACCCAGCCCCTCCCTCCCCACCCCACCCAGCCCCACCCCTCCCATTTTTGGATGCACGACGGACGGACGGACACAATAATCCCCTGTGGGCTGGTGGAACCAGGAGATTCCTACCAGTAAAACGGAGTGACCTGCAGTTACACTGCAAGGGATGCGGTTAGGGCTGTACGGACACGAGACCCCAAGCAGTGTTCATTTCAGAGTCAAGTTACTTTCCAGGACACACATGCCATAACGCGCCCTAAGCAACGTCACATTCCACGCCGCACACACGTACCTGAAATGTATAACCAGGTGAGAACGCAACGAGGCGAGTCGATTGTTTATAAAGGGACACCTGGCGGTGCGAGGTGCAGTACCACACCTGCATTTTGAAA